TTAATTAAAGATTCCGAACTTTAATTAAATTCATTATGAACATTGCTTTTTGATTATTATCCTTAAACATTATCCTCTCGTATATGACACTTATATACAATGTTTAAGGTTACATAAATAATCATGGAATTTTCATTGATATTCATAAAATATTCATAAATATATGCACATAAAATAATGAATAAACTCTTTTATTAAATAAATAATAAATATCCTATTACATCTCATGCTTCTAGGACACTATTCCCAACAGCATTGTGGATGGCATAGAAAGACCACTCAAGTTATTTTGTGACAATAAGTTAGCAGTTTTATATTCCAACAACAATAGGAGCTCGACGGAGTCGAAGCATATAGACATCAAGTTCCTAGTTGTTAAAGAAAGAGTTCAGAGTGGACAGATGTTTATAGAGCACATCGGAACAAACTCCATGGTTGCGGATCCGCTTACTAAGAGATTGCCACCCAAGGTCTTTCATGAGCACACCGCTCATATGGGTGTTGTATCTCTTAAGGATATGTAATTTTAGTGGAAGTTTGTGCTTTAGTTGCTTTTTAGATTTAAACACGTGTTATGGTAAACTTCGGATATGGTTTATGGATATTTTGGTTGTTTTCAGTTATAAAGTATTTGGTTTATTTTGTCTCTGAACTTGCTTGAAATTGATCTCACTTAGGTATAAGGTTGGACCAGTTGGAAATAGGCATGTTTAGATCACGTTGCATGTAATTTCCATGCTACACATCCATGCTTGATCCATGTCGTTCGGTTATATCGGTATATGTGACCATTGATGGGTTTAGTTACGATAAATGTAGCGAAAGCCGCTTTGATCCTACGTTGATATGATTGATGGACCGGATTGTTTGGGGATGCATTCGGTAATGATAGCAAAATTCTGAGTACTCATAAGGTTATTTTTAACGCACAATTATAAGGTGACACATATAGCCAAAGTGGGAGATTGTTGGGTTTTAATTTACCATGTGGGCTTATATGTTTATTATTGTGTGTTAGAGGCTATCATATTAGGTTGAGCCCATTTAAAGTGATCTGATAAGGTTTTAAGTATTTTAGGCTTTAATGCATCTAATTAAGTGTGTGTCTTTTATGTGTAGAGACCAAATCATTATTTCTACTTTTATGATGGGCCAAATTAGAAATAATGAAAGTTAATAGGCAGTTAACTTATATACGGTTATGGTCCCCAAATCACATGTACGTTTCATTCTATTTCTGACATCCTATCATCAAAGAGAATAGAGAGAATCCAAAGGAAACTCTAAAGGACTACGTGTAGATTTGGAAGACTAACCGCAAGGCTTGTGATTTGCTTCCATCATGACTGATTCAGGTATGCTTCCGTTTAGATCATAAATTCTTGGTGATACAACATGAACGATCCGGTATTTGGTGAAGGTTTTCACCCTAAAACAATTTTTCTAACACTTTGATCTTGAGAATTCATTGGATGAAAAATTGTACCAGTGTATAATCACTACCACCCTCTGAGTTTTGATGAATTGATGACGCATGCCATTCATTAGAACTTGCAATTCCGAAAGTTGTTATGTTATAGCTATCGCCAAATTGTTTTGAGCTTAGAACTGATGTTGCACCCTCCAAAGCATCTGATCCAATTGCTTGTTTACTGTGATTTAGCAAGGAACATGCACCCTTACTGTTTTATCCTTCCACAGAAATTTCATTTTCAGACATATTAGGCAAAAATTAGGGAAAAAAAAAAGACCTTTTGTAACCTACGTTACCCAAAATGCATCATCAAGATAATAATGGTCACTTCGACTAAAGCTGAAGATAGATCATTTCAAAAGTGTATAGCATATTAGCAATTTACCTATCCCCGCATATAATGAGATGCCCATTCTTCCTGATTCGGTTCAGGAATGTCCTAAAAGTGGTTTTAACTGCTTCCTAACTGACAGAAAATCTGCCAAGTCAACTAAACACATAATGTTCCACGTATACCAAAAGAAGCACCGTACAGTAGGAATAATAAGATGCCGAACCTCATTTGGAAAAATATCCACATGTTCCCAGTCCAGATTCGTAACAACGGCTGTATAAGGTGATAATTTCAAGACGCAACCATCATATTCATCAGCCTACCAAATGATATTAAATGTAAAAGCATAAGACCAAAATCCTTGGGAATATGAAATAAGTAAAGATTCAACATGGAAAAGCATTTTCAGCCTCAGTAGAGAAAGAAGAAACTTGAAGTATGACGATTAACCAGTGAAACCTCACCATGTTCCCAATGATAAACACAGCTTTCTGTTATTACTGATCGATATTAGAGGAATAATGTATTACATATTCAGTCTCCATACACGACTACATCCTTCCACATTTTTAGGCCCTCTTCTTTGGAGGGGGCAGGACAATACACCATTTTAAGGCTAAATATTACATGAACCGTTCAATATTTAAAAGGCAAGGTCATGTTTTTAAGTATCTATATGTTTTAAACATATATATAGCTTAAAAACTTAAAAGATCTGCTAAAAAAGTCAACTCATCGTGAAGGTTATTACCTCTAGTACAAATGTTTCACTGCTTCCTGAGATAACGTTACCATCTGGGAACTGCACACAAGAAGAGTTTGAGTATTAATTTTTCAACAACTTTAGATCCTTTCCACCAAAATTAATTCAACTATTATAACCAGGCAAAGCAAAAGATATTGCTGCAAATACTAATTCAACAAAAGGAGAAACTATAGTTTATTAAGCATGAGCGAATGGCTGATGCAGGAAATAGAAACACTACCATATCCAAAGTACCTGCGGCACATCTGCTCCAACTATAGCCGTAAGATCATCACCCATTGCATTTAAAACGGAAGCAAGCATAGCTGCAGTTGTACTCTTCCCTGCGATCATTAAAATTTGCATTACAAAACATGTAAAAGGAAAGGGGGACAAAAAAGAGTATCAACTAGTAAACTAGCTTAAATATCATAATTTAATTGTGGGATTGTCCCTCAAGGGAGGTATTTACATGAATGTGTGTATATATAAACACACCGCTAAATTTTCCACCATCTTGCTGATACTAAAAGTATAGGACTAAATAGTAGGTGTTCATTCACATCCTTACCGTGGCTACCACTTACAGCTATTAGCTTGTGGTGCTGTGTCAGATTTGCCAACCAGTAATCTCGCTTGTATCTGAGATAACAAATCCAGCAGAATCACCAATGTAACAAAAACATTGAACCGGTTTATAAAATACGAAAACAGGATAAAAATTAAACATCTGCTATTAGAAAATTTACAGAGGAGGTCAAATGATAAAACAATATCTCAAAATACTCATGGAAAAAGATGCAAAACTAAATACCCACAACAAACAACATGTACTCACACAGGTACTCCAACAGTCTTTGCGTGTAAAATCTATACATTGTTTTGAGGAACAGCGCTTGAAATAACTACGGCATTGGGCAACCTTGAGCCAATTCTTCTTTGCACATTCGACACCGAATGACCGGTACACAAACGAGCTCCTGCTTCTTGTAGTCTGTCCATGAAGCTACTCCATTCGAGATCCGAGCCACTAACTTCATAACCCTACAACAAATTTCAAAGATTAACACTCGGAAAAGCACAATAGTTTTCCATCTCCGGTTGATTTTATCACCCTTTTCACCGATTACTCGTTGCCATTGCAGTAACAATTTGGTTAGAAAGCATATTATATATATATATAGTCTGTGCGTCATGTATTGGTGGAAAGGTTCATAAACAAATTGGTAGATAAGTAAGTAGATCTATGTATAAATATACATCTTTCAATACTAATTATTGTTTTATGAGTTCTAATTAGGGAATCAAACTAAGACCTAAATAATGTGATTTGTTTTGTTAAACAAGAATAAACTAATCAATATTAATTTGAGCTTAAAAGGCGTAATTAGCTATGGGGTTTCTAACAAACCTTGAGGTGTAAAGGAGTAATAACGGTTATTAATTAATGATCCTAATAATAACAAGAGGCCTTCATTTAAGGGTGGCCTTAGGCAATTGCTTTAATGGCCTTACGGGCATTGCTCTTTCTAATTGTCTTTATATTTAAGCAAGTCATTCCCTTAAGACTTAAGACCCCCTTCTTCTCAACCAAAACCGGTTTATTACTTGCAGGTTTCATAAACCTTGTCGGAGCTGCTGGGGTTGGCTGGGTCTCCTTCGTCCTGGATTCAGAAACATAGACCTAAGCCTTCACCAATAACAGCTTTCCTCATTGACGAGAGAGGGGGCAACAAAAAGACAACAAAAAATGGCAATAAAAATTAACACAAAAACGTACGTGTTTTTGTTTTTCTTGGCTTCGGCTGCACTAATGGCTCATGCCCACATTGCCGAGTTTGATGATTATTGGAAAAGTAGAGCCGAGCAAGCCCAGAAAGATGCTCTCCAAGCTTACCACCCTCATCCTGAGGAAGTCACAAATCAATTAAACTATGATGTGGAGGAGTGAGTCCAACCATATATCTTATATATATGAGCAATTTATCTGTCTATATCTATATCTGTATATGTTTATCGTGAAGAAAAACAAATCATCCGTCATCTAATTAAACTGCATGAATCATTTTAGTTGTCATAATTCACATGTAAATGTGTTGTCTATATATACCAATGCAACGTTTTTTGAAACACTGGATGTTAGTCAATTTGAGAGAGTAATTTTTTTAACAAATCAAATAATTACATCGTACACCAACCAATGCATGATAAAATTATCTGCAACATATGATAAGAAAAAAAAGACGGGTCGTAATATTATATTTATGGTCCAAAAATTTGACATTTCATTCGTAGAATATAAATTTTTACAAGAAAAAACTTTACGTACAAGTCACACACTAACAATGCCAATTATACGATTGTCGATACGTAAAAATCCACATAGTTTATCGCTTGACGTGTTCAAAAGAATATTATGACTATATATATATATATCACTGTCCATAATCTAATTAAGAATGTTGCGATACAGAATTGCAATACACAACCCATGAATATTATATGTGCATGCAGGGCTCTTACGGTGAAAAACAGCACAAGAAGAGTGTTGCGGGGAAAGAAAAACAAGAAGGGAGGTCCATGCATGGCCACTAACCCAATAGACCGTTGCTGGAGGTGTGACCCCAACTGGGCCAGCAACCGCAAGCGCCTCGCCGACTGCGCCCGTGGCTTCGGCCGCAACTCCGTGGGTGGCAAATTCGGCCGCTACTACGTCGTCACCGACTCCTCCGATACTGACCTCGTAAACCCTAAGCCGGGGACTCTCCGCCACGCCGTCATCCAGAAGGCGCCTCTATGGATCATTTTCGCCCGTAGCATGATAATCCGCCTCTCCGAGGAGCTCATCATGACTGGTGACAAGACCATCGATGGCAGAGGAGCCAATGTCCGCATCGCCTACGGTGCCGGCATCACGATCCAGTTTGTCAAGAACGTCATAATCCATAACATACACATCCATGACATCAATGCGGGTAGTGGTGGCAACATTAGAGACTCTATTAATCATATTGGCTTCAGGACTAAGAGTGACGGTGATGGTATCTCCATCTTCGGATCATCCCACATTTGGATCGACCACGTTTCCATGTCTAACTGCCAAGATGGCCTAATCGACGCCATTATGGGGTCCACCGCCATTACCATCTCCAACTGCCACTTCACTCACCACAACGAGGTAACTAATTATAAACTTTAGAAGTTAACATACATAAGTACTAAATTATGTATCGTTCTTAAATTGATTAGTTAGTAAATTAACAATTAACATAATTAACAATGATCATGATCTATAAACGTTTTAGAATTTGTAAACAAGAAGCGCGCGAATATATTAAATAAATTTTAGGACAACACAATCCTAGTTTTATTACAAGTAAAATATTCTATTTATAAATAGTATAGGTTTAAGTTTTTGTGTAATGATTATATGCTATCGGTGGTGACACGTCAATTTTAGTTCTTAAAATAATAATATGTGAGTTTCAGAATCGATTCATATGAATATGTGCGCATGGTTAAAACCATTGACGAATTAAAATTGACAAATGAAAGCACGTTCATGAAAGAATTATTAATGAATGCGTACCATAGTAAGTTAATAATGATGGCTTTTTGTTCAATATTATATAGATATAGTAGTATACAACTATATATGACCTTGGATTAATTGTAGGTTTTGCCTATATATATATATATGTATATATATGCATATAATTATTTCAGGTGATGTTATTTGGAGCAAGCGACAGTTATTCGGATGACCAAAGAATGCAAGTGACGGTTGCGTTCAACCACTTTGGGCAAGGATTGGTGCAGAGAATGCCAAGGTGCAGATGGGGATTCTTCCATGTCGTAAACAATGACTACACCCACTGGCTCATGTACGCCATTGGTGGTAGCCAGCATCCCACCATCATCAGCCAGGGCAACCGGTTCATTGCCCCTCTCGATCTAAATGCTAAACAGGTACCTACAATATCCTATCAAAGTCGCAACATCTCACGTGTTTACAAGGTTTATATAAATAAATAAATATATATATATATATATGTATGTATATATATAGACTTTAAAACTTGTGAATGAGTTTCAATCATTCCAATACTTCTATTACTATTGAAAGGTTCATATTTCATTTATGTTTTAATTAAGCTATAATAAATGGCTCAAGTTAGGGCATGTTTAGTTCACTGATTCGAGTTTAGATATGACTTTATGTAAAAGCTTTTTATTGTAGTAAAAAAGTTAGATATGACTGTTTCTGAGAGCTTTTTACTGTAACAAAACTCAAATTCTAAACTTGAATCGGTGATAACTCAAATTTTTGTTTCGATTGTTCACATGATTTGATTTGATAAATATCAATGACTTTGGTTTGTATGGCATTATTAATTATGAAGGTAACCAAGAGGGACTATGCTCCGGAGAGCGACTGGAAGAACTGGAGATGGAGGTCCGAGGGAGACCTATTGATGAACGGGGCATTCTTTGTTCAATCGGGGAAGCGCCTTTCGAAAAGGCGATACTCGAGGCCGGGCATGATCAAGTACAAGCCTGGCACCTTTGTCACCAGACTCACTCGCTATGCCGGAACCCTTGTGTGTGGCATTGGCAGACCCTGCTAATCATTTTTTAATTTATGCTCTTTTTTCGAATTAATAGTCTGCTAATTCATAGATATATGTACTTTGGAATGTCTAACCTCCCTTGGTGATAAATTAAAGAGGACGAGAAAGCTGAAGAAAGGGGTTAGCTAAGCTATGCAGATCATCCACACATGTACATTCCTTTTTTTTTCATTATTTTTGTTTTTGGCTTTTTTGAGCAGAAGAGAAAACATTGATTGGGTTTTGAAAGAAACCAAAATTTCAGGAAAAAGATCTGTTGCTCTTTTCTTTTTCTTTTTTTTTTTTGTTAATTTGGTTAATTAATGTGCTCCAATATTAATTACTCATCTGCAACCAGAAGCAACAAAATGATTATGTTTTTTTGTAAAGGTTATCTCCACGTTATACCAACTAAATAAGGAGTTTAATATTTTTAGTGTATACTGTATAGTCTTCAGGATTTTTAGAATTCATAGCGTGGAAAAAAACTGTTTGAAATCAAAATCAAGGAAAAAAAAAAGATCAAGGAAATTCTCAATCTGTCACTTGACCTTATTGATCAAGATTAGCTGCCTACAGGATGAGTTCGTTAATTCGAGTTTTTAATTTAAGTTGAGATGACTTTATGTGAGAGCTTTTTTACTGTAGCAAAAAAAAAAAAAAAAAATAGATGTGACTGTTTCTCAGAATTTTTTACTGTAACAAAACTCGAATCGGTGAAATAAAATGGGTCAGTATGTTTAAAATTGTATGAAACTCATAGGCGCTTTGGTAATTCTGAGATTTCGTTTTTGAGTACTTCGAATAAGCAAAATTAGTAGCTTTGTTCTGCTAAAATCATAACATTCTAAAATTTACCAATTCTTTTACAAAAAATGCATGTAACTACAGCACTACTCAAAAGTCAAAACTAAGTTCTCTTAAATTGATGTTTGTTTGCGGGTCACAATATTCTTTAAAAGCAAATCTAATTCATCCAGAAACATATGTACACTACTGGTAAGAATACCCTACCGTAAGAAGTTCCGAAAATGCATATATCAACCTATAATATTTGATACGTCTGTATGAAATTAAAAACTCTATCATACATCGCGAATAAAACTGTTCATACTTTAAGTTGGATCGGGAAACTTAGCAACATTGGAAAGACTGTTCATACTTTAAGTTGGATCGGGAAACTTAGCAACATTGGAAAGACTTGACATTGGGAATTTGAAGCAAACAAAGAATGCATATCATAGTATTGAATATAGTCAGGAGAGAATATTATACCAGCATTCCACTAGAAATACAAGTTTTTTTTTTTTTTTTGAAACATTAGACATAACAGTTCAATCAACCGTAACACTCCGTAGATTGTGTGGTATAGATCTTAAGTTTCAATTTTTGTGGGGGGCAATCCAAAAGTGAGTTCTTTTTGTGACTTTACTGTAAATTACTCTAATTTTTATTTTCCTATTTTTCTCTAAAACCTCCAATTCCAAAAGGGTTGGACTTGAATGCTTAGTGTGCACGTTGCAATATCGTGGCCAAATCTATGAGGCCAATGATGCCTCCCAGATTCCACATTCATTTCCTTTGCTGCTTAACGTTGTCCTTACTATATTATCATTCAATATGAGATGCTATGCTTTGTTCGGTTACATTTTTGAGTTATGATGACTTGAGTGTAGATTTTGAGTTGAATTTGAGTTATAACTTATGTTGAAGTTTAACTTGAGTTTGTGTTTAGATGTGCACATTTGAGTTATGGTTTGAATTGAGAATCTATTTGAATTTGTGTTTGGGTAGTTCAAAGCTTGAATTTGTATTTAAATAGTATTTTAATAAAAACTCAATGTTGATGAAAAATTTTAATAGGGTATATGGATAAGGTTTTATTCGTCTTTTCATTGTGAACGCATAGAAAAAAAACATCTCAATCAGAATTAAAACGAAAAAGTTATAGTGTTTCTAATAATAGAAAAAATAGTATTATTCATTAACTTGAGTTTCAGTTTAAGAACTTAAGTTGAAAGGAGAATTTAAACTCATATTTTAACTCCAAACTCAAGTTAAAACCTGGGTTCAAACTCAAATTTTACAAAAGAACATGAACTTAAATAAAATTATAACTTTAGTTTAAACTTTTTTTTGAGTTTTGATCGAAAAGAACAAGCCCTACATTTCGTAAGTCGTGACTCACAACCTTAGCGACTCAGAGTACTACAACTAATAAAATATAAAACTTATCTATTAATTTTATATTACGAGATCTATGTATATTGACAGATGTTTAACATCATTGAGCAATGTCTCTCTTCTTTATTGCCTACTATGCTTAAACTAATCAACACACTACAATTTCTCATTCTATGCAACCATCAAAAACTCACTGATTAAAGGCTTGTTTTGAGTCGTGATTCTTTTGTGTTTCATTTTATTTTTCTGTATTGTATGTAGAAAAGGACGCGTGGCTCGTAAGATAATGTACAGGCAATTGTCTAAAGCAGAAAATGGGAGACCAGTTAACCAGAATGGGCCCAACGGCCACCATTAGTGAAATAGATGTTTGTCTGTCGAAATCTCTGGTTGGTCCGGCGGCAGATAATTATAGTCTGTCGTTGGGCCCTAATTACTAATTAGTTCCTTTTGTTTTTCTGAGAATACAGTACACGTGTACCAAGTCAATAATTCAGAAATTAGGAAACAAATTTTTGGCGTTTAAAATTGAAAATACATCGAAAAAGAACCAACCATAACAAAAGAGGATGATACTTCAAAGTTCCAACATCATAATGTTTTACACTTTCTATACAACTCTATTTTTTGTTTTCACATTTCCTGCCGACGACCCCCTTTCCTCTGAAAGAGACGGTTGGTTTTATTGTTGACGATTAGGCCTCCACTAATTAAATTACCTAATATTACTATACTGAATTTTTTAATAAATGATAGATTTATAAAACTAAATTAAGTAAATAGTACGTTTTAAAACTATTTAAAATTTATAAAAATAAATTAAGGCCTCGTTCATTTCACCGATTCGAGTTTTCAGTTTTAGGTTTCTACAGTAAAAAGCTCTCAGAAAATGTCACATCTAACTTTTTCTGTTACAGTGAAAAACTCTCAGAAAATGTCACATCTAAACTCGAATCTGCGAAGTAAACAAGACTTAAATAAATAGTACATTTTAAAACTATTTGAAGTAAATAACAGTTTAACGTGTAAATTGTCATATTTAACTTAAAAAAAATAGCAATTTAACGTGTAATTTTTTTATTTATGACGGGTAAAAAAATTTTATTTACATAAAAAATTATCTTTTATCAGTCTTAAAAAAAAAATTTATGTAAAAAAAATCTTTTTATTAAGATAAAGGGAACATTTACACGATAAATACTATTTACTTTAAATAGTTTTAAAATATACTATATAATTTAATTGTTTAGTATAAATATACTATTTACTTCATTCTCCCATTTTTTTAATTGCTTCAACCTTGCTTATTTCCATCAAAACAGTACAAACTTCTTGATATTTCAACTACTTCCTCAGCACAATTCATTGAGATTTTTTTTTTTTTTTTTTTTTTATATAATGGACATACAGAATCAAAACACACAAAATTCATCGAAGATTGATCAAAAGATCCTTAAAAATAAATAACACCATGACTATAAGTAAACGCTAAAAAATAATCCTATCCAGACAATTATTGATAAGAGATGACACAATTCATTGAATTGCAAATTGGCAATTGGCATCATTGTCTCCAATACATTATTTGCGGGTTGAGATCAAACTCCAAAAGATAAGATAATAAGATAAATCTCCTCATCATCAAAAAAAAAAAAAAAAAAGGAAAGAAAAAAAAAAGAAAGAAAAGTGCACATTGATGTCGGAACCAACCAAAAGAGAACATGGCTTAACGTAATAAAATACGATTAAACCTTATGACCAAGCGGTTTTGAGGTTTGAAACTTGCATCAAAAAGTGGATGGATATTCTTTCGGCATGATTTGACGGGTAACAGAAAACTAATTAGACAACCCCACTCAAGAGTTGGGGAATAAAGAATTAAAAAAATTTAAAACCGAAAGTGGCGGGGTACTCTTTATCCGTTTGGACTTAGCAAAGTGAAATTATTTAAGTTTCGTTAATTTTACTGATTTAAATTTTTAATTTAAAATTTTTATAATTTAAAATTTTACAGAAATATTACATTTAATTTTTTAATTATAATTAAAAATTTTAAAAAAATTTTATATTTTATTTAAATTAAAATTTTAAATCTACGAAATAAATAAAGTGTTAAAAAAAAAACTTCTTTAAGTGCATGGGCCACTAAAAAGGTTGCCTTTTTTTGCATTAGATGACGTTGAGTTTGAGGGTCCGTTAAACAGAGATCGGCTATGCAAGGCACACGTAGCCCCCTTTCTAGTTGAGACCACTGTCTACGAACCGAACAAAATGACTTTTTAGGCTCGTGAGGGAACAGCAGTATTGCCACTTGTCTTAGGTGGTTGGTTGACTCACCTCCACCAAAGTGCTTAACGTGTAAACTTTTGGTTTTTAGTACACGTCTTTTCACCCCCTACATAATAATAATAATAATAATAATAATAATAATAATAAAGAGAGGGGGCATTTGGTAATATGACAATTTTTAGATAGGATATGAAAGATACCCTATTGTGAGACATTGCCCTATTGTGGGACATTCCTTTGAACTTTAATTTATGCCTCGTTGAATTTAAATTTTTAAATTTAAGTTGAAATGTGATATTTTTTGAGAGTTTTTTACTGTAAAAACTTAAATTGAAAATTTGAATCGGTGAAATGAATGAGGCCTTAATATATCAATTATATGTGTATATGTGAACAAATTTTTAATTACGTTTCTATTAGTAGTTACTCATCAAATATAAAAATTTAATGATGTGATATGATAAGAATTTGATTTTATTATTTACATAATATTTTTTAATCTACTACTTAATTTATTATAACAATTAGATTAATATTTACCGATTAAAACAATGATACTTATTGATAAATAAATATTGAAATAATCATTAAAACTATAAGTTTTATCTACTTTTCTATTTTGATATCATTTTAATCCCGTTTGACATTTAGAAACATAGAGTAACATCGTAAAGTAACTATTGAAATTTGCTAACTTGGCCGATTAAAACAATAAACATTACAAGTTATTTGGAGAAGTTTTGTTACCCGTAAAAGGAATTGTCGAACAAACATCAAAGGCGAACATAGTTGACTAGAATTAAAAATTTGACCGCTTTATTATTCATTTTCTGTTCTGCTTCGAATCTTTGTAGGTCAACAACAAATTAATAAGAAGTGGGGTAATCCGCATATAGTGTCCTAAGTGGGTAATCCGGACATGGTGGTTTTTTTTTTTTTTTTTTTTTTTTTTTTTTTTTTTTTTCGGGAATGTGGGTTTTTTTTTTTTTTTTTTTTTTTTTTTTTTTTAAATCTTTAGCAAAAAGGCAAAATAGTTATGGGCTACATAATTGAGATTGGGAAATGCCGAAATGGAAGTCAACTATCATAATTCGAGCGTTCGATTACTATCCATTTTATCAACAGAACTTCATTTGCAAGAGAGTGCAATGGACCTCTAGTTTTTTTGGGTTTGTTGATCCGCTTGGTTGTTTTTCTATTCATTATAAACTACTTTCACAGCAAGCATAAATGAAGAAAGACAAAAAGGACATATTTGGTGCGTTTAAAAATCGTTTCAAAATGATTTTAATTTTTATATGAAAATAAAAATGAAATCGTTTTTAATTTCAGATAAAAATTATTTTTAAAATTATGTTTAATAATTTTATTAAGAGATTATTTTCAGTATAAAAAAATCTATTAATGTCTCTATCTCTGCTTGAGAGAAGAGAAAATGAAAATAAAAAATGAAAAACGACTAAAAATCGTTTTTCATTTTTCTTTCATTTTACACTAAACCAAAAAATTATTTTTATTTCTATTTTTTTATCTTTAATTATGTCAAATGTTGTTTTAAAATTATTTTTATTTTTTTTCTTAAAAAATATAAAAAAATAAAAATAAAAATAATTCTAAACACGGCAATTATAATTTGATATTTGTCCAAAAAGAGAAAATAAAGCAAATGAATTTAAGCTTTAGAACTAATACTTTTAGCTCTTAAAAGTAATACACAAATCCCATAGATACTGTACTTCTTCTCTGGTAAAAAAGACTTTGGTACAGCATTACGACAGTAATCCCCACACAAAACTGTAGGCTTAACCCAAGTAGAACTCATACTTCAAAGTTTTTTTTTTTTTTTTTTTCGTTCACTTTGTAATACAAAATTGCTCTCAAAGTTATTACATTTCTCAATCATGAATTCTTGTACAATTTGGCTCTCCTATCGATCTCCTTTTCCAGCTCTTCAAGACCTCCAACTTCTTCAACTTCCTGCACCTCACCACACTCAATTCAGTCTCTGCCTTAAAAATAAATAAATAAATAAATAAATTGAATCACCCACAAAAAAAAAAGAAGGAACGAACCTTAGGTCCCAAAAACAAGCCGTATGGTACACCCTCGAATTTGTCTGAGTGGTGGAGCTAAAAAACCCAAAAGAAATCCAAATCAGAAAAAATCTTAACCGTTGGATTCTAGTAGGGAAAAATGTTCACAAAAATTAATTTAATATGAACGAGTTTAAAATTTAAGTTTTACTAAAAAGTTCTCATAAATAATCATATTTAACTTTTTTATTACAATAAAAAATTATCACATAAAATTACATCTTAACTCAAATTAAAAACTCAAATCGACAAACTAAACCAGTAAATTTGTATTAAAAGTAAGGAAGTAGTGGGTATATATTTTTATATTTAACCTGATGGGCAGCAGCCACTTTTCTGAAATAAGGCACGTTGGCAATGGGACCCACGGGGAATCTTTTATGGACCAAACCGTCGTGGACAAACATGTAGGCCATGCCAAAAACTGTAATTCCAAGACCCTGCAATCCATGGAGTGGTCAACTATGTTAATACGGGAAATACACAGGGTTACTTTAGTGACAAAAAAAGATTATTGATAATCCCCCATCAATTAATTAATGATTAGAAGCCGTTAAAGAAAAGTCAGCAATTCAGATTTGGAAGATATTGAGAGAGAAAGAAAAGAAAAGAAAAGAAACTTACCGCACCGAAACAGAGTCCTGGGACAAGGCCTTTGTGGAAGAAACCGTATGAGAGAAGAGCTATGGCCGGGACTGCATTGACTATGGCGAACACATCGTTGAGCTCGAAAGGGCCTTCTCTGGGTCTGTGATGAGACTGCAAAATTTCCAATTAATTAGTGATTCTGGTGGTTGAGAAATCGAATGCTATATTGGTCATGTTTCTTTCGTGTTCGGATTCTTTGGGGAGCAAGCAAAACTCTCATTTTCTCAGCATCCAAACAGGAAAAAAAAAAGCAGGAAAAGAAAATCGGAAACGAACCTCGTGCATGTTCCATAAGGAAGCGTGCCAAAGAGCTCTGTGAGCCCATCTTGCCCAAAACTCCATACCCACCTAAAATCACAAAACACTCGATTCAATTTAGCATTCGAAAAAAAAAAAACGACCCAAAAGTTTGGTCAGTAGAAGATGAAACTTACAGCTGCGCCGACAGATAGAGCAAATGTACCGAACATTTCAGAGTACGGAACCTCTCCACCCTGCCCCAAAGAAAAACAATTTCATGGTTTAGAGAGAGAGAGGGGTATATTCTTACTGTGATTGAAGAAAGAGAAAGTATATACGCTACCTCCATTTGCCAGTGAAACCTGTAATAAACCGCCATAACGGCCATGGAAGTGATCCCGAAGCTGGACAAAACGGCGGCGATGAGATAAGTAAACCTCTCCGATCTCTTCCTGGCAAGCTTCTCGGCGGCGCGCTGCGAGATCTGAGGGTCGACATTCACGGGGATTTCGACAGCCGAATTCTCCGCCGGAGAAGCGCCCCGCTTCTTGTCCTCCATTAGAACGCAAATCGTCAAGCATAGTCTCGGCCGAGCGCGAATTAGAACCGCCTTGCTCCGGGGACAGAGATTCGGAAGGGGAAGGAAGGAGTGTTTGGGGAGGAGGTAGGAGGATTGGATGAGGCGGAAGGGCTTGGGGGCTGTGGCGGCCGTGAGTCTTGCCGCCATGGAAAGGTGTGGTTGTGGTGGTGGTGGTGGTGGTGGTGATGGTGGGGTGGTTCTAGACTGTGCGGGCCTGGAGGAGTCTGAGTTTTGGTTGAACTGAGACCACAATTTGTCTGTGGACTTCCTGGGAGTTATATATAGAGTTATAGACTCACGAATTCGCGTGGAAATAATGACGCAAAAATAACTTTGAGGAAATAACAATAACTTAATCCCATTCATTTCACTATTTAAATTTAAAATTAAAGTTTTATTATAATAAAAAATTCTTAAAAATAATTACATTTAATTTTTTTATTATAATAAAAAATTCTCACATAAAATTACATCTCAATTTAAATTAAAAATTTAAATTAATAAACTAAACGAGTCATATATATTTCACCAATTTAAGTTTTAAATTTTAAATTTTTACAACTAAACTCTTAAAAAATATCATGTCTTAATTTAAATTCGCAAAATGAACGTGACTAAAATATATGCCCATTATGATTGGATGAAATTACTAGAATGCCAATTGGTTGGTTTTAAAAATAAAAAATAATAAAAAAAAGCCCCTTTATGGTTGTATGCCTATGACTGGTTATTGGCATAGTTTGGTATGATCTTATTTTAGCTACATGAACATTTTTTGGTAGGGTAATTTTCATACTTTCTCTCGGTGGGACGTTGTTTTGAAGTTGTAAGATTTTTATCATATTCTACGGCTTTTATTATTTATTTTTTCATATCACTATTACCATATCACCCCTAATGTTTGTAGCACATAGCACACAGCCACACACTGTAGAATACAGAAGTTCAGCTCAAAATTGTAAAGTAGTATGTGCTTCTGAAGTAAGCAAAATGAGGAGCAATTATTCATTACTTAGAGATTTTTATACTCCAAAAAACAAGTGTAAATAAAGTGTAGACTTTGCATGATGAAAGTTATATGCCATATTTATTTCATGCGTTTAAATTTATGATTTTAATTCTTGCTATAATGTTTTTCTCACAAAAAATTTAAAATTTAAATGCCCGAACAAAAAATGACTAATTTAAACGCATAAACTAAACGAGTCCATATTGATCTTTGAATCTCTAATATTTAGCACAACGGTCAAGAGGTTTGTCATTAGCCCCATCTACTGAATTCAATTTTTTTGTCATTGAGGGTTAAAAGTTCGCATCAATAATCTTTCAATGACAATGCGTAAAAGAAAATAATCTAATTACAGGGGTGGTTGGGAGATTCACAATGTATTTGTACTTGTCAAAATTACATCCAAGATGAGCTTCATCAACACAAGTTATGAAAAAAAAAAATTATTATTATTGGTGTCTCCTACATTTCTAGTTTGCCTCTAAACTTAAAAACATTCATTTTATATTTATGAGTTTTAAATTATTTTCATTTAACTCTTTTTATTTAAAAGTCTGTTAAAAACGAATAATAAAAAAAAAAGAATGATGCGCTCGTGATTTTTTTATTTAAATTTATATTAAAAATAAATAAATAAAAATAACATGAGCACATTTAACTCATTTTTTTCGTCTAAATTTATCAAAAATTCTCATTAAAAAATTTAAATATGACAAATTCAAAATTAAGGAAAAAATTGAGAATTTTTAAATTTTAAAAGCAAAGTAAAAATGACTCTTAAATATTAAGAGCACTAATACGATTAATCTTAAGAAAATATATATAAATAAAGACAATAAGACAAACTATTAGAGCCATGCGAAAAAGCTTTGGTTCGTTGAATTTGGACCCCGTGGCGGCGGGGCGGTGCTTTGGGAAGAAAGAAAGAGAGACATTGGTGGAGGAAGGCCGGAAAGTGGGTTTGCCTGTCAAAGACAATCAAGGACAACAACAGTATAAAATGCACTAAAAAAAAAAGATTTCAAACAACTGGAGTGTTATTCCCGTAATTTAAAGAGAATAAGAAGGTGAAATTTGGGAAAGTGGGAGGTCCCGATACACATGTCAGGCCGAGAGTGAAGAATGTGAGGCTCACGCGGAGTTGGAGGATTTTCGAGAGCGGTGATAGCGAATCACATCGCAGAATTCCAAATCAAAATCAACAAAATAATGGGGTCGTTTGATAACTTTTTCAAGATATTTTGGAGTTGTTCTTTAGAGTGTAATTATTTGATTGTAATTTTTGAGTTAAATTTAAATTATAATTTAAGTTACAGTTGTAACTTGAATAAAGTTGAGTAAAGTTGAATAAAATTAAAACTTAAAAGAACATGAATTTAAATAAAGTTGTAACTCGAGTTGTCTTTTTTTGAGTTTTTTAGACAAAAAACATGCCCTTTGTTTTCCGTACAAAACAAAAATAAGATTATTTTAAAAATTATGGTAAAATTGATTTTAAAATTATGTTTGGTTAGTTTTTTAAGAGATTATTTTGAGTATAATTAAAAAGTAAAATTGTGTTTCGTTATAATTATTAATTAATATATTTTATCATTGTTGATAAGTATTAGAAAATAAAAATAAAAAAGTGAAAATAACTTTCAATCGTTTTTTAATTCTTTCACAAAAATTATTCTTATTATTTTCTATTTTTATTTTCATTTTTAGAATATTTACTAAACAACAAAATTTACAGACTATTTTTATTTTTGTGTCTTAAAAAATATGTATATAAATTTTCAAAAATAATCTAAAATCAATTTTGTCGGCCCGTCTAATTCGCTAATTCAAGTTAAGATGTGACTTCATATGAGAGCTTTTTATTGTAGTAAAAAATTTAAATGTCACTATTTTTAAAAATTTTTTACTGTAGTAAAACTCGAATCGGTAAAATGAACGGGTCTCTAATATCTAGCTCTCTCTATTTTGCTTGGGCTACTTGTTCAAATATTATTGGCTGTCGCGCAAGCCACGTACCACTTACGCGCTATACTACCTTTTTCATGATGTTAATTGATTTGAGCGTCTAGTCTCTCCTTTGTTCCTTGCCTCATGGATGGCCATCTTTGACCTTCGTAGGCGAAACACATCAGCTACTATTGTGAGAGTGATAATAATTGGTGACCAAAAGGACCAAATTAATTCCAACATTAGCGAAGACGCACTAATTTCTTGCTAATTATGGATAAAAAGGCACTAATTCTTGCTTATAATTTTTAAACTCGTGTTTTCCGCCACAATGTTAATGGTTTAGGTGGTTGACAAAACTTGCATGTGTTGATTTATAAGGTTGGAGAAGATTGATGACGTTCGTACTTCGAGACTTATCTCAATAATGCAAGTGGTTAAAGAGAACGGCCATAGTATAAGTTGTAGCGGAACAGTAAACATTTGACAAACTTACGGCCATAAAAATCAACTTACTTGCACTAACAATACATTCTATGCGATCAAAGAGAACTGCCTGTGGCGCATTAATTAGAAAAGAAAAGCACGGTAACTTCACTGCACACAGCTTTTATGGCAATCTTCTGCTTGCTTTAATTAAGCGAAACCCTTGTATTTAACACAACCAGAATGTTGAGTTTTGGCTTATTTGTAGGAGTCCCACATTGAATGTGTATGAAGGGGGCATGAGTCTTTGGTCTATATAAATAGGCCAACACTGGAAACTCAAACGTTAACTTGTAATATTTGAATCTTCAGTTTTTTATTATTGTTATTATCATCATTGTTAACTGATAGAAACCACAGCGATTTGACAGAAAACAGAACAACGGAAAGCTATAGATTCAATTCAGAGAAACTAACAATCGCTCTACAATGGTGATATTCGAGAGATTATGAATCGTCCTACAATGGTGATATTCAATCGCTCTACAATAGTGATATTCGAGATTGTGAATCGTTCACCATTCGTTCTACAATGGTGATATTCGATCGCTCTACAATAGTGATATTCGAGAGATTGTGAATCGTTCTACAATGGTGATATTCGAGAGATTGTGAATCGTTCTACAATGGTGATATTCGAGAGATTGTAAATCGTTCTACAATGGTGATATTCGATCGCTCTACAATGGTGATATTCGAGAGATTGTGAATCGTTCTACAATGGTGATATTCGAGAGATTGTAAATCGTTCTACAATGGTGATATTCGATCGCTCTACAATAGTGATATTCGAGAGATTGTGAATCGTTCTACAATGGTGATATTCGAGAGATCACATTCTCTCATCTACTTCCTAACTCAATACTCAGAAACTACTTAAGCTCTCTAACGCTCCTTATTTATAGGCAATTACTAAAGAAACTTTCTCAACAAGTTTATTCAGCAACCAATCCACGTCAGCACTAATCACTGACGTTTATTCCTCCTACTATAAACCATCAGCCTCTGGTTCTTATCATTAACTTAATCATCAACCTTCATCACCATGTTCTGCATCTTAATTTGCCTCTACCAGATTGTTTTCCCAACTAAATTATGCTAGCTTCATTAATTTGCAACAACTTACAAACATACCAAAGATAAAAGAAAACTCTTTTATTGAAATATACAAACTTCCTTGCTTCTTTTATTGAAATATACAAACTTCGTTGCTATATATAAGAAGTTCCAACTCTGCATGCAGAAATTCAAAGTTCCATGGCAGCCAAGCACATAATGAAGGTTCCAAATCAATATGCGGGCAGTCGATGAAACAACTTTTGTGCCTCAGTTGGTCTCCGTCGTAGCCATGCATTGAATTTCAGAAAATGGAATTAATTATGAAAATGATCTACTTTTATCTTGTGGAAAGTTCTCGATGCAAAGATTGTGAGGTGGCTTTCTAATTCTACGAATCAATCGCCTTAATCGCACTAACTTCTATCAATACAACATTTCTATTAGCAAGCAAAAAAATTCATGCCTTATATGAGAATAGAATTCTACATAAGGTATAGGAAAAATAACTTATCAATATAAATATGTTTGGAACTGTTAAATATGTTTCAAGTTCTGTTAGTTTTACACGCTTGTTTATTATTATTATTATTTTGATAGAATTTTAACAATATTTATTAGCACTAATAAGCAAACACTGCTAGTACAATAACCCTACTAGAGACTAATAAGTTCATATTTAGTTTTTAATAAGATAAGATGTTTACTATCTTTTGCACTGTTCTCTGGACATCTATTGGGATTTAAGTAATACAAATTCATCTATCCTATTATGAAA